ACAGACACACACACACAGAGGCAGACACACACACATACCGGAGGACCCCCTTCTCAGCCTAACAGAAAGACTCCTGCCTTTCCCCGGAGAGACATCACCCCCCACCAGCTGTGGGGGCAGCAGGACAGGGGCCGAGGGGCTCCCGCACCGAGGTCAGGGAGGGTTAGTGCGCCCCTGGGGACTAGGGCACCCGTGGGGTCAGCAGAGACCAAAGCACATTGCCCCACCCCCTGCCTGGAGCCCTGGCCTGTGGCAAACGTGGCCCTCTGGGCCGTGAAGAGCATCCCACGACTGTCACGCTCCCTGCGTTTGCACCCAGTGAGATGTCCCCGGCCCCCCAGCCTCCGCCTTCCTTCTCCTTTCCTAACTCAGGGCTGCAGGTTCTGCCCACACCCACCTGCCTCCTGCGCCTCTGTCCCCCAGCCCCCAAGTCTGCAGACACTGCCTTCCTCCTGGTGGACACCGGGGCTGTCACGGTGCAGCTTCAGAGCCGTCTTTAAAAATGGCACAGAAGGGACTGCCACCAGCCTTTCCTCGTGCCGCTCACGACCATCCTGGGCTCGGGCTGTGGGGGAGGTTGAGGCGGTGGGACAGGGAGGAGTGTTGCCAAGGGCTCCGTGGGGTCTGAACAGGCCACCTGACTTGTTCTGGCCCCGAGTCCCCCTGGAGCCCTGCTCCTCTGTCAGAGGGGGCAGACCTGTGACAGCCCCTCCTGCGCTCCCACAGCTGGCAAACCACTGGCCTGTGTCTTGTAGGAAAACAGTCGGTTGCAGAAGGAGATTGTTGAAGTCGTAGGGAAGCTCTCAGAGTCAGAGAAGCTGGTCCTGAAGCTGCAGAACGATCTGGAGTTTGTGTTGAAGGACAAGGTGAGTCCTCTTGCTGATTCCAAGTCTTCAGAGAGGAGCCCGGGTGCTGGGCAAGGGGTGTCAGTGTCTTCGCAAAGAATGCACAGGTGACAGGATTTTTTCCTGCTAAAATTCTAGAATGCAGAGAAAATCAAGACAACTTTCCAGGTTTTCCTCCTCTTCAGGCAGTGCCGGTGATGCCCTGCACATGGGCCCTTTAGTGACAAAGGCCTGGGCCAGTGGCAGAGTCTCAGTGGTGGGGGCACGGGGAGAGGTTGGAAGCCCCCTGCCATCCCCATGGGGGGAGGAGGGGAGGGCAGGTGCAGGGCTTGGCAGGGGCAGCCCAGCAAGAAGGCAGCCCAGGCTCCAGGTGGGCGCGAGGCCACCTTCCATGAGTCTGGACCATCCTTCTGCCCTGAGACCTTTCAAACAAGGGGAGAGGAGGAGGGATGGGCGGCTGTCTCCAGAGGTGCTGAGCCGGGGTAGGGGGAGTGTGAGAGGTAACTGCGCACCTGCTGCCAGCCTCAGGTCCTAGCCCTCGTCTTCCTGCGTGTGTCTTGCTTTCAGCTGGAGCCACAGAGCACGGAGCTCCTGGCCCAGGAGGAGCGGTTCTCAGAGGTCCTGAAGGAGCACGAACTCAAGTGCCGGGTATGTGCCCCGCCCCCCCCGGGGGGCATCAGGGTCTGCCCCCCTCCCACCTCCTGGTCCAGCCCAGGCCTGCCGGAGCAACCCCACAGGAGTGGCCACAGCCAGCCTTCTGCCCCCGGGGTCCTCCAAGCCTCTGCTCTGAAGGGAGGGCCAGGACCCGCCTGCCCAGCACCCGTGCCCAGCTCCCGCCAGGCTGCCCGGCTCCCGGGCTGGCACTAACCCCAACCCTAAGGGCCCCTCTGTTTCCGGGCAGCATGGAGGGCTTCATCTTGTCTCCCGTGCGTGGCTGTTGGCATTTCCTGGGCCAGACCTGCCAGTGTGTGCCGTGCAGAGTGGGGCGCAGGTGGCGGGGCCCGAGGCGTAGAAACGCGGCCCAGCCCGCTACCCTCTCAAGATCACTGAGGAGCCAGCGTAGACAACGTCGCTGCTTGGTGTTAAGGGTGTGGCGGCAACTTGATTCTTAGTGATTTCCCTCCCCACTAACACAAGCCCTGTGTTTCTGCACGCGACGCTTTGGCCGCACCAGAGGATAAAGGTGAGCTCGTGCTTGGTGTGCAGTGTGGCGTGACCCCGGCCCCCTGCCCTCCAAGCCCCAAGTCCCAGGTGCCCCGCAGCCCTGCGTGTGTCAGCTGTCCGCCTCCTCGGGAGCCCGGCTGGCGTGTGGTTTGCGGCTGGGGGCTGTGGTGCCTCGGGGTCGTGCCGCTCAACCGCCGGAGGGAGCTGGCCTTCCTGCTGGGTTTTCTCTCCACGTTGGGCACCTGGAACCAGCCACCCATTCGTATGTTACTTTACTGCACAAGCGTAACCTTCCTTCTTTAAGAACTGCAACTCATCCACTTCTGGTTCTTGACTTTTTTTGGAACATCAGCAAAATATTTTACATTTCAGGACTCGGCTGCTTATTTTGAAATTTGTTCTATTTGGGGGGATATTTTTGGCTGTTTTGAACTAACATTTAGAGCATTAAAAAAGCTTTTTAATTGAAAATAATTTCTAACACATGAAGTCACAAAGGTGAAACTAGCTCGAGTAACACTTGAGGGCCTCCGCCCAGGTTCCCAGCTGTTCACGTTGGCCCCGTGCACTCAGTGTGTGCACGTGTATGTGGACGTGCACACGCGGTTGTTTTTGAGCACCTGAGGTGACCCATGTGCACCGGGGCCCTGTGCCCCCAGGCCAGCCCACGCGTTTCCTGAGCACAGGCTGACCCTACAGCTTCGCAGGGCTGGTCAGGTGACCAGAGTCGACGTTAAATGTTCAGGTGTCTTGCTGACTTCTTGGTGAGCCTTTGATGGTGCGGCTTATTTACACCAAGAAGTGAGCGAAAGCTACAAAGCTGGGCTTCTCCTCCTGGAGAACCGCCCCCCAGTACCTCCTGCTTAGCGGTGGACGCCTGGTCAGGTCTCCCCCCACGGATGCAGCGCCGCGCCCTGCGGACGCGGCGTGTCGACGCTGGTTCGCCTCTCAGGGCTCCCCTCCCCTCCAGGGCAGGATCCAGCCCAGGACCAGGTGTTGCCGAGGCTGCTGTGTCTGTTTAACGTCCTTTAATCTGAAGCTTCGTCTTCGCCCGTTCCGGGCGGCGGTAGAAAGAACACTGTAGGCTGGGGAGCTTATTAACCGCAGAGATGTAGTTCGCGCGCTTCTAGACGCGGGTGGGTCCGAGGTCAAGGAGCCTGCAGACGCTGTGTCTGCAGGGCTCTGTTCGGGGTTGCAGGTGGCTGGCTGTCCTCTCACTGTGTCCTCGCGTGGAGGGGCGAGGGGCCTGTGAACCTGTGTTACAAGAGCACTGACCCCCATCATGGGGGCTCCACCCTTATGACCGCATCACCCCCCAAAGCCCCACCTCCCGACACCATCGCGCTGGGGCTCGGGATTCGACACATGGATCTGGGGGACACATTCAGCCTGGCGCACGTTCCCTCAGCCTGCCTTTGCCCTCGACATGGACATTTTCAAAGAATACAGCTCCCCCCCGTTTTTAATAGAAACGTTCATTTTGCTTTTCTGATACTCCCTTTGGGTTGAAGTTGTCCTTCTCAGCTGCACAGCGGAGGTGAGGTCAGTTCTGACCACCTGCCCTCGGCATGGCCTCCTGGCCCCGCTGGACAGCTGCTGGGTTTCCTCCTCTGCAGCTGATGAGCGGTCGGTGGGGAGACACTCGAAGGCCACGTGCACGTCCTGCCCTTTGTGAGAGGTTTCCCTGGGTTTGGGGCCAGTCAGTGCTTCTTGCCCACTCTGGCTGAAGGGTGGTTTTCCAGCTCCAGCATCTGCTCTGTCGGCTGGCGCTTGTCACCTGCCGTCAGCCGGCGGTGTCCCACCCGTCTGCTGTTGGTCTGGCCCCTGGGCCCCATCGCCCCCTTTGTAGTTGACTACTGTGTCCGACTA